CTGACGAGAGATCGATAGCCACTGTCCAGGTGCGCGTTCTAATTTCAACAGCGTGGCAGTTCACGCAGATGTTCTTCTTTACTATTCCTCGTCGTGTGAATGGAGGTATTTCCAACATAACTTGTACGAGTTTCACTAATAGCATAGACAGAGCGATTTCTGAACTTATGCAAGAACCATACGCAGTTGAGTAGTATTCCGGACTCTGATTGGCTGAGCCTGCCTGCGTGGCTGCCCGTGAAATGGCACTTACACTCAATTTGGCTAGTTAGGGTCGCCCTCCAAGGGCATGTCTGCCGCGAAACAGCTCATTGTGTAGGTAAGCGTAGTCGGTTCGTGCGTATGTGAGTGGGTACCAAATCGGAGATTGGTACCGATCTGTTTTCCCTTTCACCGCTGCGCTCACCTCACCTCAGGCGGCCGATAGCTAGGCGGTGAATGAGAGTGAGGTCGACCCTTGGACTCAACAGCCAGTCCAGTGTGTCTTGTTGTGTTTCGTGGCTGTCTGTGTGCGGAAGCCTACATAGCGAGAAGGGCTGTTTGGTATGCGTGTTGAGTGTTTGTCGCGCCAGCTGTCTGCGCCTTCCCGCATTTCCGGCCTTCTTGACCCTGTCTTGACAACCGGTTCCTAGTGTGGGGGTGGTCAGATGGTGGGGTAGACCCGGCGAGTTTGCCTTCACTATACCTAGCCACAACTCGTTGAAGCTCGCAGTGGATGTCGTCGAAATCGACGGTCGAACTATCGGATACCAAATGAATGTCTTTAATGAGGCTTCCGTGGCCAAAACATTTTTCTTCAGCGTGTGCTTTATAGTTTGGCTAGTAAATTGTTACAGGTGTTCTCAATGGCTAATTATTCCAATAAACTAGCCTGAGCTATTCCACGGAATTCACGATTTACTTTCAAAGCCCCTTCCTCACAATGACTTTTCACTAATTTCGTCTCACTTGCTCTAGCCCACCGATAGTGAACCTGGGACTGAGCGCCGGAAAATTCCGTTCCGACAGCTCATTAAATTGCGGAAACGTGCACGAGCTACTGCTAACACAGGCAAACAAACGCCAGGCGCAGGCTATTCAAGAAGAGGGTGACGCGGACACACAGGAGGAAAGTGAAGTTATACCCTCCCCAAAAAAGGCTTCTTTCTTTCGTCAGTTCATCCAAGTCCACACCAGCCAGGCAGATGAAAAGCCGACGACTTCGACCCACGCGGTACCGAAGGGGGATAGAGCACAACCCGCAACCGGCTCATTTTTTCGACGTTTCCTAAACTCTAGTGAACCCGCCAGCATCCCGGAGACAAAAGAAGACAACAGGTCGTCGACTGATGCTGTGTCATCCGCAAATAAATCTGAGCCTTCCTCTGACACAGACCGTTATTCCATTTTTCGATTCGTGGAAAAGGAAGGCTCCACAACGAGGAGCAAAGAGCTGGCCAGTAAAATCCAGTCGGAAGTTGGAGAAAACGCAAATGTCTGCGAAAATGCCACGCACACCTCCGGTGATGCCAACATCACGCCGCCGCCATCTTCTCCCGTTGATCTCGAAAACACACTTGTCTGTGAGGAGTGTAAGGCGCGTGTCCTCATCCATATGATGCCTGAACATACAGATTTCCACTTCGCGCAACGTCTACAACAGGAGTGGAACAGGGAGCAGGTTAGTACGGTGAGGACCGCACAACCCTCCGGCAGAACGCCCCTTCCGTCTCGAGGAACCCGGGGCGGACGGGGGACAAGGAAAGGAACCAACGCGAAGCCTCCTGCAAGTCTCACTTTGGACAGGTTTCTTTCAAAGTCCTGATAAATGGCTAGAAAAAGCGTAAGCCCCCTCCCCCCTTTATCCACAAAAAATCGTCTTTTCTCTTTTATTTGTGTACATTGCTTCCCATATTTTTTAATGCAGATATTTTCATAAAACCCTTAAAATGAAGTTTTTTCGTGAGTACGTGGTGCTGGTTTTCAAGGTGGCTGTTGACCACAGAACCTCGACTGACACCGCATGTCGGAACTTTCCACCGCTACATCGACTTATTCGACCGGAAATTCCAAATACATCCGAGATGACACTAGAGGAGACGCAGCTTACTGGCTGCATACTTACAGTTTACTATCGTTACCATGATGACAAACGTGACAAGACCTGCTAAATAGCGAGGGTTACCCGGCGTGTCAAAATGTATCGGATGGCTAATATTCTGATATGAAAGGCGGCTGTAAATTGTCGCTGTTATGGCAAACTAATTGTTCACAATCCAGAACATGGCAAATGCGACCTGGTGCCCCAAAACGTCAAGCTTGTATGCTTAGACAGTGGATAAGGCTATAGAAAATCGTCCGCCAAGTCTCTTCGCTCAACCCTCGTGCTTTTGGACGACCAGCGCGCTATGGTTCAATAATCATGACGGCACTTCAATAACGGATGTCTCCATTTTAGTTTAATTTGCGCGCGAGGAAGCTTCAATATTAAATTGTTGAAGTGGAAGACCCTGTGACTAGTTGTTTATTTTCAGCTGAAAGGTCGAATATACTTCACAGAGGGCAGCTGAGTGATGGGTCGCGATTCATTTTTCTACAAACTCTGAAGGGAGACGTCCTGAAAGCACTGGTTCTTACGACAATTATGTGGTTAGTTAAGTTTCAAAGGTAACAGCTAACGGCAAAACTGTGTCAGCTGTCGAGAATTTACTAAGTGTCCAATCCTGACGGCATGCTTATGATTATAAGTTAACTCCTCTGGCTGTCGTTAATACGGTAATGCAGTTGTTCGGACATGGGACATTTAAAAAGGTCCGGCTTGCGGAATGGAACGCAGGGTGTCAGACCTTCCATCCCCTTGCTAGTCTCAGTTGGCAAGTATAAAATCGGGGTGTACGTCTAGTTAGGCATCACGAAAGGCGCATTTGCGTAAATTGGTGGAAATTTGTATATCGAAGGGCCATGAAAACAACATTTTTACGTCTGGTAAAACTATCTCAGGGCAGAATCTATTCAAAGAAAGCAGAAATACAAACCGCTAGATAAATTTTCAAAGGAATGGTAACGGGAGCTATACATTTCCTAATGACGTAGCTTTCAGCACCGCTCACAAGGAGCCTTTCCGGATTTACTCGTATCACCAGGGCCACAGGTAACTTTCGAGTTTTCCTAGCTGACCACGACAATCCTCTAAACTGGTGAGCCGCAATGCTGAAGTTACCTGACGTAGGCCTTCGCGATGGACCACGGTAGTAGAGGCAGGACGCGCTCAAATGGGTGGTACCGGTAGCAAGCTAGCCAGACTCCACTCAGTAGGGCTAGCCCGAGCGTCTCATGGGAAGCTACAGCCACAAAGCATCGTGTAGGCGACCACTCCCAGACTTTGAAGTTGTAGCGGGAGAAGATGCGCTCCACCGCCCCCGCCAGTTACGACGAAGAGCAAAAAAACGTTTTATTAGGTGTTTAGTGAACAAGCGGAGATGAGTGCACCGTACCAAATAAGAACACCTTGGAATAGGATAAGTTTATTTGGGACAGTTGTGGGAGTGTGGATAGTGAGTCTAAGGAATACACAGCAGTTGCCTACCGAAGGCAAAAAATCCGAAAATTCAACCGCGCACTCCACGGGGAAAAATCGGAAGCATCCATTATCTTCTCAGGCGTCATTCCACGCGACCTCATCCGGGAATGGTTTGTCACTTTCTAAAATGGTATGAGATCAGATCGAGAGGAATAAAATACAGTAAAGGAATGGTCAACAGTGGACTTCCATCACAATGCTCTGTCGTGTAGGAGCGATGTGCCAATTGTTCGAGGTCCAGGTATAGGGGCGTCGACTGGCATGCCGAAACCACCTTTAGGAGGAACTTATACAATGTGAGAAACCCGTGGAAGTGAAAGGTTAACCTGGGAGAGGTAGGAAAGGGGACCGAAGTAAAGGGATTTGGACGGATTTGTCAAGCGGTAATTGGGAAAGGGAGTAAGGAAACGAGTGGGAAGGATTTGACAGTTCTGCACCGAGCGCAGGTAACGCTGCAGAGACGAAGGCGCTAGGAGTGTCATCGGAGGAGTATTATTTAAGCTTGTTCAAGATGTACGCAAAAGTCGAATGCTGCCCTCGTCGAGACGACCCGCTACTAGTTTCTTATCAGTCATGGTAACAAGGCTCAGCGATACGGCTAAGGAAAAGCACATTAACAGAAGACGTCCTAGGAAAGTGTTTACCAAAATCTACAGAGAGCGCTTAAACTTATTCAGGAAATCAACGCTCATAACGCAATCGCAGTTTATGCCTGGTTCGCTGCTGGAATGGGCACAATCAGCTCCGTTCCGACCTGCCTATTGGCCTACCGATCAGCGGTAAACGCCACTGCACAATATGCACAGTTATTCCTTACTTGCGGACGAGGGATGCAACTCCCTGAGGACCTAGAACTTCCACCTATATGCCAAACCGAAAATACTGACACACACGCTTCGCGAGTATGAAGGACACTGTGCGTCGTATCAGAGGAAGCCCGCTTGTATCTGTAAGAAGTGCAACGGTATCAGAAAGCGTTTGATGACCACCTAGCGCAGGGGACCCCATGCCGAGTGAGAGATGTTGCACGGATGCGTAGTTTTGCAGCAGTAACCGGTGTATCCGCGAAATTTATTCCAGCCAGGGTTTGTCCACACACAGTCGTCGGGGTTCCGTCCGACACGACCTGCCTTATCAGCAACAGGCAGCAGAGAATTCACCGTGCACTTTAACCGTCTGAAACCAGAACCACCAATGGATGAATGAGATGCCAATCAGCCTTAACCACAAGTCAGTCCACCCCACTGGGCCGAGTACTACTACCGAAGGGGGGTTCGCAATGCCCGAGGTATTCGATGACGAGCAACAAGTGGGGAAAAACAAGTCGCTGGCGGTCGACCTACACTCTACCCCTGAGGACAGCGGACCCTCCAGCGGATGGAGCACTGTAGAAAGTGGGTAGAAGCCTACGGGCGTGCGCATGATTATTCCCCGTATTTGTACGGCAGATAAGTAGTCACAATTAGTATTTCCCGTAAAGATTTCAGTTGTAATCATGCAGTATCAATACTAATTACTTGAAATAATTTAAGTCTAATCATGTTTCCCAAATAAACTTCAAATAATCGTAACGATGACCCAAGACTCGGCGAAAGGAGAACTTATAAATACGGGCGACGACTAAACACCGATAACCTCCGGGTCGAGCCGCGTCTTTCATAAACCCAGGAGAATCTTCTTAGAACCTAGCATATTTTTGTATTCCGATGTTTTCTTTAGTTTCTTGTTGTTTGACTAACTGACTTAACTCTATTGAGTGTTTATCTTCTATCGTTCGGGCTCGTTACATGCCCATTGCGATTCATGAGTACGATAACGCATACGTGAGGTTGTAGCGTCCCGGCTTTCACTTCGGCTTCTATTTCAGTAATGCAATCAGTTTACAACCGTTTGGTACTGCCGTCGTATGGTGTGTATTTACCGACAGGTACCCCAAATTCCGTTAGGGCATCAGTCATGTTGCTAAGTACACACGCGAGTAACAGGAATGAGTCGTAAGAAAAACGTTTATTAATATGCAAAGAACAATGGAAAGCGTCAACTATATAAACTCCGATGAGCACAAGGCCGTTCAATCTTCCTCAATCTCCTTTATTGTTTCTTCCGGCCACGGGCCCTCCTCAAGGACTCACACACTCTCCTCAACCACATTTACTGAAATTGGGAGTGAAGGAACTTATGAAAATGTGATCAACAGATAAATACCAAAAAGGCACATTAAAGCAACGAGGTCGAGTTCCCCTCCTACACACTCCCTCACAAGACGGTTCTGTCGCCAGAGGCGCTGACTGGACTGTGTTCTTGGAGATATTTCCTTCGCAGGAGGCTTGCGGAACTAGATGTAAGGGCAGGATGTGTAGAGAATAGAAAGTAGCGGTGGCTAGACTTCCCCTACAAGGCTTCAACATGTCGTAGTAAAGATAGGGCCCGTGGGGTAAACGCCTCACGAAGTATGTAGATGGAAGAGGGAAGAAAGTGCACGACGACAAACACGCCCTC